GGGGGGGGGGGGAGGGAAAACACCCCGAGGCAGAGCCGGGAAGCCCTCGAAGGCGATCGAACGTTCTGCTCCGACAGCGAAAGAAGGAGTCGTGAGTCGTCCTAAGCCCGCCAGGCAAGGCTGTGGACCCTGGCTCCGTCGGGATCACAGTCTGCTTCTGTTGCTCTGTGTGGACGCCTTCTCTGCAAGCTTAGTCCATGAACCACCCGGAACCTTCCCCGAAGCACTCCTCGGCTCAAAGATGTCCTGAGATCGCAGGGCCTGAAGGGCCCAGGTCTTGAAAAGGCCTCGGGGGAAGCTTTCGTGTCTAGGTTGAGCACTGCATGAACTGTATGTCGACGGTAGCGCATTGCGGGATGAAGGCGGCCTTCCCCAGCTAAGATTCCTTAATGCGGCTTCTAGGTAGATGAGTGAAACGCCACTGAAAGACCCTGAAGGTGACACGATCGCGTGCCACGTAGCAAGAACTCCGAAAGCTTCAGGGCATGCCGGCCCTCACTGTCAACCTGCTCAGCGGGAGGGAGGTCGAGGCGAACTTCGCCTTCGGGGAAGTTGAGGACTTTGCCCTATAAGCCCTAGGCCGTCAACCCACATCCAAGCTCCGGGGCCTTGCCAGCTTGCGGTTTTGGGTCCTTCGAGCTTCTGAACATAATGAAGGTAGCTCGTCGTTGAGGTTGGGGGGCTTCGCAGGTTCGGGTGTGAGTTCCGGGCGCCTACGCTTCAAGATCTAGGCGGCATTCAGGCTGCTGCTGCTTTCGTTCGCTGGGATTTGTTGCAAGCTCTTGTGCTTCATCGGCCCATGGATATCTTTCCAATCTCAGTATGCATGATGGTTTTGTTTCGCATCGCTGGCTGGCAAAATCCGCGTGCGAGGCAAACTTGTCGAACTTCGAAGGCAATGGTGCAGAGCTGCGGGAAGTGGTCGGCTGCGCTTTGCGGGTCACGCCGTCTCGCCTCAGGCTGCTGCAAGAGCGGCCGGAGTGTTCCCTGCAGTCTTCAACACTGTCTTCCGTGAGGCTGCTCACTGCGAACAACGTCGAGATCGGTGATGCTGATGTGCCGCTAGCCGGCATTAGAACGGGTGACGTCTTCCAGCTTGAGCAGAGAGAGGCAGGGAGATGGAGAGGCAGAGTGTCGCCGAAAAAGGTTCCGGGCCCTTTGCCTCGTCAGTGTATTACCCGATGGGCATGAGATTAGCGTCTTGCTTCAAAGCACTTACTCGCCCCACGACAAGTGGCTGCACTAGCGCGGCGGGAGAGCGTGAGCCCCTGCCCGGGACCACACTGTCGGCGGGGGCTTGGCAACCAGGGGAGGAGTCTCACAACGGCCTCTTTTTTGCAGTCTCTGGAAGACCAAAGAGGTGTGCGTGGGCAGGCCCAATGGCTGCTGACAGGTGGAACGTGGCAAGTCGATTGCCCAGCGAGGGACAGGCAATTTTGAGCGGAGAGTCGCGGCGTGCGTTCCGTTCGGCCGGATCACACAAGGTGGCTGCACAGTTCACTAAGACACGAGGAAGCGTCACTAAGCTGAAGGGTTGCAGTCGAAAGTCAAGGGCCACTCAAGAGGATAACGTGCAGCAAGTTAGCCGCAGCCTTCAGGTGCTAAGCAACTTGCTGGAGATCCAGTAGACCAGGAGGTACAGTACTCTAGTCGAGGAGAACCCAGAAAGAGCTGAGGCAGCATACTTGCAAAAAGGGACCGCCCGAGATGGCGCTAGCACAGGTTTCACAACCCCAAAAAAAGACAGAAAGAGAGGGGAATGTCTTTGGTCTTAAACCCGACGGAAGGAAGGAAGGAAGGAAGGAAGGAAGGAAGGAAGGAAGGAAGGAAGGAAGGGAAGTGGGTGAGCTCTTCGCTGCTTTGACGATGCCCGCTCGACACGTGAAGGATATCGGAAGAGATCCAGTGCCCGATCACTGCGACGGTTGGAAAGGGCCAGGAGATCGCCGAGTTTTGCTGCTGGTCTTTGTGGTACCGCCGACCCCTAAACCCTAAACCTCAAAACCCGAAAGCCGTATCCCTTGGGGCGGAAACTGAGGCCAAGAAGCCATGCCCAGCTTCACTTCGAGACCTGTCGAAGATGCCCTTAACCTTCCAAAGGGCACAGAAGATCTGTCTGATGGCATCTTGTTGGGAAGAGCGATAATGCTTGGCATCAAGAAGGCCCGGGACACGTCTTATCTTGCGCCTCTGCTTGTGCAGCTCTGTCATCCTGCCGCCTCGAGCTGAGAACTCCCCACCTCATGTCAAACTTCTCAAGTCAGTCATCCTCTGCCGGAATCTGTCATAGCTGCAATTTGCTATCCTTCGCCAAGCATCTGGAAGTTTCTGCATGGTGCGGTGTTCTAGCTTGCGTGAACAAGTCTCGGAGCCTGGAGTCTAGAAAGCCTCCTTCAAGAGTGAGATAAGGCGTGTTGACACATCCGAAGCGAGAGTTGCTGACTTCGCGGTCCCGTTGCAGGAAGAGTCGAGGATATGGCGCAAGTATCTGCGCATGCTGAAGGTGGCCGGCTGTGCAGTCGGGTAACTGAGCATTCGGCACCACTTCCTTGAAGAGATTACTCAGAAAGCCGCCTGACGCTCTGAGGCTATCTGAGGGTTGTGCTTCTATCATCTTTTAAAACAGTGGCGGCTACCGTCATGTCCAACGTTCTGTGGGGCTCTTCGAGCCAGGGACTTCCGCCCCCCCAATCTCAATGGTTCGGCGAGGCACACAATGCCAACAAGTGGAACTTCGATCCCGAGGAGGAATGGGACGAATGCGGAGGCGAGTGGTCAGAGGAGGAGCAGACGCAGGCGATAAAGCCCCACTGGACACCTGGCTGCAGGTTTTCACGGCGAGACTCAGTCCTTGAGCTTGCCCTAGACCTCTAGGGCCTACGAATTCGACTCCTTCGGCCCTGGGCCACCGCATAACACATTCCAGCGAAGGCAAGAGGCAAGAGACGGGCTGCAAAAATGCCGGAAGGCGGTCGCTTGGCAGATCAGAGGTTGGGTACAGGTAGCGGGAGAGTTCGACAGGTGATTTCGCGGAGTGGAGGTTCTGTTTGCGTGTTTTCCTTCGAGTCACCTGGAGTCCCAAATATTTACCGGAGAGCGGAGACAGGCTGGTCACAGTAAGTCCCGAAAGTCCCCCATGGCCGCAAGAGCAGGCCCACCCTGGGTGTGCTGACGGGTTCTGGAACAAGGGATGGCTTCTGCCTCGCAATACGCAGTGGCATGTCCTTCCCCCAGGCCAGTGGTTTCGTTGAGCTGGACAAGAGGCTGCAGCAGAAGTTGAAGCTGCAGTTCTTCTGTCGATGGGAGGCGTGTCAATGTAGCTTAAACTGTCCGAAACGGCTTCAGGCTGATAAAAGGCGTCTGTCTGTGAATGTTTAACGGCAGGAGCATGAGGAGAACGGCCAGACCAAGCGGCACCGGGACGCCCGACTGCAAGTTCGGCTTCTGACGTGAGGAGCTTGGCCACTGGACGTTTTTCGACGTTGATTGGCTGCCGTGCAGCTCCTGAGGTTTATGGAATCCGGCAAGCATACTCAGCCGTGGAGTTTGAAAAGGTCTTGGGTTCCTGGTTAGAGCGAGAGAAGCAATGGGACAAGGCCTTGGAACCAGCACTGTCCTGCAACATTGCTACGGGATCGCACCTGTGAGCCCCAGCCGAAAGGCAGCATCCACTTCCATTCTGTCATCTTGGAGGGAACGCTGCTGGTCTGCAACTACATCCGGCTTCCAACAGTAATGCAGACTCGCAGATGCTGGATAGATTGGGGGCATGGTGACTTGGGGCATAAGATGGCATAAGGCATCACCACGGTCATCGAAGTTGAGCGTGAAAGTGACTCCGACCAAATCCTCAAGCTTTTCTCCACTTACTGCAGCTTGCTGACGGCGGCGCAACCTGGCCTTCACCAAAGCTTCGCAGTCTCTGCAGATTCCTCTCAGCCTCCGGCCGAGGAGTCTGCTTGCAGAGATGCATTGGCATTTATCGGTTTCCCACCGTTTCTCAAGACGATCATTTCTGCATACGTAATTTCCACAGAAGGGGTGCTAGACTCCGTGTCTTTCAACTAACATCCTACCAGCGACTCGTTCAGCAATGCATGAGACAAAAAAGTCTTTACTCTGTTCCGTCGTTGACGGTTTTTTCTCTGCATTTTCCTTTACCTCTGCAAGGCACGCCGGCCAGGAAGCGGCTGCCTGGATCAAACCCTACGCCCGGGCCTCGTAGAGGGCTTGGGCTTTGCCAAGATGTGAGAGGATTCAGACCAGCGAGCTCGCTCGAGCTGTTGGTAGAAGATTACAGAAGCAGACAGCTAGATGGATCAACAAATGCTTACGAATCATGCGAGGAGCTGCCGGGTGTTGCCAGCAACAGCAGTTGCAGCAGCAGTGCATAGTTGCACGTTGCCTCGTCGCTGGCAGCTAGCAGCAGGAGCACCAGTCACTTCCACCTGCCGCCACACCCTCCTACACGACTGCTACTGCTATGCCTACTGCTATTATTACTATGGCATCAGCTGGCAGCTGCAAGCCGCTCAGACGAAGACGACCGTCGAAGCGCTGCTGAAGGGCCTTAAGAAGGAGGCGTTCATGCTGAAGCTTGGGGCGCAGATATTTGCAGACAGATGTTGGTTGAAGTGGATGTCGGAGCACGCTTCAGTGGCTTGGCAATTTGGCTATGTGCCCTGAGGGTCACGCAGTGAGCTCCCATTGCGAATTTCGGATGAACATTCTTGCAAAGTCTTCTCGGGCACTGGCCACGCAAAGTTTTTATGATAAGCGGATTTCAACAGCAGCCGAGGAGGGCGGATGCAGGAGCCGAACTTCGGATTCGGGGTTTGAGTCCACGAGTGTTTCCGGTGTTTGGGTCTGGCTTTAGGGCGTTTCGGTCCACGTCTGAGGGTTGATATCATGGACGGGAAGGGAAGGAGTGGACTTGTGCAGAGCCCATCTCTGACAGGACTGGTTCCCCGGAACTGTCCCGAGAGTAACGACCCGGACCATCCGGATTTCATGGCCGAAAGGAGCGACAAGGAGTGGTTTGTTTTTGGGCCCAGTTGGGCCCAGCGTTTAGGGGATCTATCTGGGGCCTTCAAGGGCGCAGCCCAAGCCCCGCGAGGTGATCATCGAGTCCATGGGGCTCCTCCACTCAACGGCGGCATCTGTCGAAGGGCTGAGGGAAGCTTTGTTGCAGCTGTTCCGGAGTCTTTCTCGGAAGTCAGCCTCTTTGAGCTCTGCAAAGCCGTCAAGCAGTCAAGGAAGGGCTCTGGTCATTCTTGGGAGATCTCGCAGAAGACCGGTGCGGGAGACTCAGAGCGCTAGGGCAGCTAGGGAGCCTCTGAAAGCCGGGAGGTTGAAATTGCCTGCAGACAGGGGACGAGAGAGAGAGAGAGCGAGATCTGCAGGGGGCAGTGCGTCCGTGCTGCTCTCTGGGCTGTGTGGAAGAAAGAGATCTGAATCAAAATTCTTCATGACCTCCTTGGCAAACTGTATCGCTGCTTGTCAAGGCTTTCTGTGTTTGCTTGCAATTGGCAGGTGACCCTTTACGCTTTCTTGGGATGAGACTCCTGACGCAATACCACCCAGCCAACGAAGCGACGCAGCAGCTGTTCCAGAAGTTTACAGAGTTCGACTGGCCTCACGCCGCTCGTGCTGCAGGAGGCTTCCGGCTCCCTCTTTTCAGTCCCACAGCCTGAAACTGAACGGACTTAATCAGACTTAATCTAAACCTAAAGCCCGTACTTAGAGCGCTTTCTTCAGTATGCTGGTTTGAGGTATCGTAGAAATTCGTAGAACGCTCTGAGCCATGCTTTAGTTGGCAGTCGTATATAGGAAGACCAAGGTGCGCGAGATGGCTAAGGCCGCTCTGGAGGAGTGTCAGTCTGCCCCCGAGCACCCTCAGTCCAACGGAAGCTCGGCCCCTGAACTGATACTGTGTTTTAGTACAATGCTCTATTAGATGATTACAATATCGCATATATATATATACAGACAAAAATGTATATGTATATGTATACTGTATATGTATGTGTATGTGTATGTGTATGTGTATATATGTATGTATGTATGTATGTATGTATGTATAGAGATAGATAGCTAGAAAGAAAGATAGATAGATAGATAGATAAATGTTTATGTACGTATGTATATATATATATATGGGAGAAGGCCCAAGGTGGCCCAGCGCTGGGAGCTACACGGAACCGGCTTGGACTTCTGAGGAGTGGAGGAAGTTCCGACCGACTGCCCATCCCCTCGAAGCTTGTACCTGAGAAGTGGCCCGGCCTCAACTCCTAGATTGAGAACTCTTAGTCCGTAAAATCTTGGTAATGCTCATTTTTGAGAATCCGGAAGCGATCGGGAGCCTTGTTCACGACGAGGTATGAAATCGAATCCGATCCGGCTGACCATTCCCCGCCTTGGAGGGAGACGGAAGCTTGGCAAAGGCAAAGTCTCTGGCACCTAGCGAATGCCCACTCTCATTTTGAAACCCTGGGAAGCTGGAAGCTGCAAGCTCGAGACAAAAGACAAGTCGACAAACCCAATTGATCCAGGTCAATCGGGGCTGATTGCAGATGCTTCTCGAACGCCTGCTAAGTTCGAGGACTGTATGACCGTCTAAGTCCTCCCGAGGCGTATGCGAAGAGGACCTCGCGGTGAGGATTACGACCCGGGCAAGCACGTGTTGTTCATCGTGAGGGAGCCCTGAGCAATGTTGAGCAAAACTATGGGGTTGTTTTTGGTTGGGTTTTCGACAGTCCAGAACTCACCGTGCAAGAGCGGCCAGCTATCAATCTGAAATTGTCAGCTCAGGACGATGAAGAGGATGAGGACGAGTACGAGGAGGAATGATAGCAGGGTTTCAATGTCATGCGCACATGCGCACACATTGGAGCGGTGTCTGGAAGTCGATGACAACTTCGATTCCCTAAGGCTGCCGAAGCTTCAATCCAGGCATCTCAATGTTTGCCATCTCCAAGAGATTGCACGCTCTAGTAGGCATGAAGCGGTCCGTGCCACAACACCTTTGCAGTCAGTGACCGTTGACAACCTTGTATCAGTGTGACAGTAACGAAGAGTTCCGGCCTGCAATTTATTGACTGCGGTGTTTCCGAACTTACTTCAGATTCGGATTCCAGCGGGAGCCCCTTAAAGGGCTCACGGGCCACGACTTCGAACCTGAAGCTTCGGCGCAGCCGGCGAGCTTGCAGAAAAATGCCGGCCTCGCCGAGAGCGGAGTAATCTCCCGAATGCCCCCATGCTCGGCCGTCGCCATGGCAAACGTACTGTTTAGGGTTAAGGGTTTGGGGTTTGATGCTTCAAAATTTTTGGCTTTCCAAATCTGGAAGCCCTGCGAACTTGTCGGCCCCACAGAGTGTCAAGGCAGTCGAAGCTCTTCAGGTCTCCGTGTCCCTTGTAGCGATCCCTCTTCTAGTAGAAAGGGCTGGTGTTTTTTCCAAACCTAAGCTCTTTCTATTGAAAACCAGCATCAGCTTCACAGCCTTTCGAGGTTCCACAGCTGGCTGGGCCTGCTCGTTTCGAGCGTGCCTTGGCCACGGCCTGATTTTGCTGTTCGGGACCGTTAGCCTGATTAGTCAATGCTACTGTCAAGGTCAGCGTGCAGCATTGTGCCTCCTATTGCTGAGGTGTTTCTGGGTTCTGAGAGAGATGGGGGAGGTTAGAACAGCAAGCTCTTCCTACTCTCTTCGGGGCATCTCTTTTTCAGGCTTCTTTCGGGTTCGCTTGGAACCTCAGTGCTCCGGGTCCTGTGGTCTGCGACGGTGGAGTTCTCCTGTGCCAGCTCTCCTGCTTATCGGCTTGTGTCTTCGTCTTCGTCCTTCAACGGCAAGACGTCGCTGCGCCTCCCACTTCGGGAGGCTTCTGGAACTTCGCAAGAGCCCGCAAACCCTTGGCATGCACGGGTTTTGCCGACGGTTGGGACTTCCAGACCGCATGTACAGAGTGGAGGCTCTAGGGGCGATTTGCTGAAAACATCGGGCCGCAATGTGCCTGCGGTTAAGCTTCTTTTATTTTGGAACCTCTTTATGCTGAAAGTCTGCGAAATCAGAATCGTGAGGCGGCGAGTATTTTCAAGCTGCGCAGACCCCAAGTGCGTTCGTTGGGCATGCCATGCATCCCGCACATCTACATCTGCCAATGCTTTCGACATGCGAAGAACTTCGGCGAAGAACCCCAGATGCCGAAATCTCCAAGCCAAGTGCCAACATACGACTCTTCAGGGCCTGTTGACTGGCATGCATCGCAAACGTTGCATCAATCCTGCTGAAGACAGGTGTCTATGGACTGGCGACATCACATGTATAATACAGGTTGTGCATGGGTGAGTGTCTCTTCGTTGCCTTCAAAGCCCCAAAGCACTGAAGTTTTGATTGGCCCGGAGGTTCTAGCACCGTCCATGCTGATCCGCGGCCGTGTGCTCAGGAGGATGTCCATAAGGCGCCGGGATTGTCACTGCCACTGGACCCTGAAGCATCTGACCTTCGAACACGCTCTGAGACGTTGAGACTCAGAAGTATGCCCTAAACCCTGAACTCGACCCCTTGAACTGGTTTACTGGTCGTCATTTGATACGGGGAGACAGGTGTGACAAGTGCGTATGCGGTAGAGATCATTTGTCTGCGTTGCTCGCACTGGGCTTGAAACTTAGGGCTAGGCAACTTCGCAGGCAGGATCTACATCGCATCTTCGTACAGTAATCGCTGATGTACCCTGAAACCACCTAGCTTGTGGGCATGGATCCTCAGCCATGCGAGAGGGAAAAAAACTGTCGGCTAGCAAGGCGAGGACAGCGTTTGGCAGCGGGAGCTTCGAGAGGCGGAGCGCATGGAAGGGGGCGACTTGCATGTTTGCTCACAACTGGTATAGAGAACCCAAGAACGCTGGGTGCCGTGTTGCGAACTTACTGTGTGTTTTGGGGCGGTACTCGTATTGCAGACGGCAGACATACAGCAAGGTTGTTTTGTGTCAGCTATCACGGCCTGTAGCAAAACTTGCGTGTTGCAGCTGTGCCTAGCCTTGTCCGCTGCAGGTGAGTGCACAGTGGCAGGAACCTCTGCGTGCCAGACCCTGAGTGCACCAGCAGTGCACAGCCGTAGCATCAACGAGTCAACAGGCAAGATCTAGCAACGAGAAAGAGCAAGAGCAACAGCAAGCATGAGCGGCCTGCGGAAAGAAACGAAGCTATTCATAGTCATCTGCCGCACAGAGTGACAGAGGTAATGGCAAAGGTGGGTGAAGACTTGATGATCACAGCAGCAGATCCACGACTGATGCTCAGTTTTAGTACACTAGATTCCAGTTTCTACATACTATCTGTACTTATTCGCAACAGTCCCAAGCATGGGGGATCATCATGCCTGAGCGGCAGGTGTGGCAGTGGCACGGCGAGCGCGCATGCGACCTCCGATACGAGGCCGACTGATATGCTGGAAGGCATGTCGTCATGTTGCTGTTGCCGATTTTGGCATACTGGGCTAGCTCATTGAGACGATCGTGTGAGCATTGTGGCTCAAGCACGTATGCGTGTCTAGATTGTGTTTTCTGACGACCCGAATTTTGCAAGACATGGCTTGGCTGCGCACTTTCGCTGCTCCACTCACTGTGGCTCTTGCTGGGCTGCTCGGTGTGGCAAGTGCTGCACGCCACGTCGAACAGCACCAGGCGAATGTGCAGGCAGAGGCGGAGGCAGGGGTGGTCCCTTTTCCAATCAGCCGGGCACTGCAGAGGGCCCAAGGGGTTGCGGAGAGCAAGCTTCAGGACTACGAATTGGCTGAAAATATTTCTTTGACAAAGAGTGCACTCGCAGCAGATGCGGCTGCAAAGAAGATGTCCTTGATGGAGGACATGAAGGCAAAGGCCTCTGAACAACAGGCTCAGGTGGAGATGAGTCGGAAGGCAATGGTCGCGGCTGAGGAGGCAGCCTCCAAGCATGATGAACACAACGCAGGCTTGGAGAACGCACTGAGCAAGTTCAACGGCCTGAGTCAAGACGTTGAGGGGCTGCAGGAGAACGTGACCATGCTGGAAGAGGCCCTCGCATTGACCCTGGCGCGAATGCAGAAGCACCTTGACGCCGTGAAGGACGAGTTGGATGCCAAGATGAAGGAGAAAAATGCGGCAGAGCAGGATTTGATGGACAAGAAGCAAGTTGTGTTGTCTGCCAACAACGTGAAGGCTTCGACAGCACAGGCAGCAAGTGATGCCGAGCAGGCAGCACAGAAGGCGCAGCAGGAGTTGCGAACTTTGCAGGGCGATTTCGACAGGGCCGTCTCGAACGCCACGAAGTCTGAGGCAGAGTCCAAGGAAGCTGCAGATGCCGCACGCGGTGCCAAGAAGGATCACGAGGATGGCCAGCAGACGGTGGAGTTGATCAAGCAACTCCGACGAGCCGTCGACGAGTTCTACAGTGCAGTCGACGAAGTTGTCTACAGCGATCATTCCGGTTCCTTCGAAGAGGACCCTCTGTTGAAGCCTGCCCTCAAGAAGTACAACGTCATGGCTGCCAGCTTCATGAAAATACAGAGCGTCGCGCCAGACGTTTACGAGAAGGTGAAGCGCGCCATGCCGGAGATCGAGCGGAACTACGAATCGGCAATTGCTGTGAAGTGCGACCCAAAAGAGGAGCTGATGAATGGGGACGAACCCCTTCCGGAGTTTGACGCGCAGTGTGGCAGTGGCCTCTTCACCAAGGTCGGCATGACGAAGCTGATCATCCCAGAGACCCCTGCCAGCTGAACAACTCACCGTAGGACTCTGCCCTGCGAAGCGTAAGCCGCGGTGTCTTCACTTCTCCCACGTGGGGTGACAAACAAGGGTGCTGCTAAAGGGTCAGTGCCGAATGCATGGCTCGAAGCACCTACGTCTCAGGTGAACACGGCAGCTTGGAAAGGCGGGCGGGGATCGCTTGAGCTGCCAAGTCAGAGATCATCTTGGTGCTCAAGGCCCCATAGTCGAGCTGTACGATGTCGTCGTCACAAGCTACGTGTGGGCCCAAATGGCCCTGCTTTGCTACAACATCCGCGACTGCTCATTCCATCATCAGAATTACCAATGTGTAGCTAGCGGGCTCTAATCCTTATTACAGGGCAGGCACGGGCATGCTGGGGCTTTGCTATTTATCCTTGCATGCAACATGCTGGCATTTGCTACTGTATGTTGAACAGCACTAAAGAAGCGGTGGTACCCTTCCGCAACATCTTTGCAGCAAAGATGTTCCGAAATCCTACATGTCCCACAAGCCCCAAACCGGAACCCCAGCAATTACTTCAAGCCCTGCCAGACCCTGTAAGTCCTAGGCCCACAAGAACGCATTCGAAGGAGACTTTCCTCCTGAACCAGGAGATGTTCACTAGAGAAAGTCGGCAGCCTGGGTTGTTCAGTTGCAGCCGCCTTCTTTAGGAAGAGGAGCGATTGAGCCACCATGCAGCTTGGCCAAGCGTCTTGTTCTGGTGACAGGTTGGACTTGCGTCGTTCTGGACGAGGCTTGCGTTCTCTCACATCTCACAGTTACCGGCAGGGAATCTGTTCCCTTCACTTCTTTGATGAAGGCCCAGTCGATCAAAAATCACGCCACGCAGACCTCTTCGGCTGTCAAGCGTCGAACTCCCTGGAGAGAGATTTGTGCTGAAACTGTGCCCATGCAGTGCGCCGACATCATCTCTCTTGCACCACGCCCTTACGTTGGCTGCATGAGGTTTGTGCAAAGCTACTTTCAGACTTGCCCTCACTGGCACGCCCATTGAGCAGCCTTGCGGCACTGTGACCGGATCCAGTGAAGGAAGGCCGAGTTCATTCGAATCATTGAGGAATTCACTGGATGACGTCCACTCCATTCTGGAGTTTGTCGCGGCTTCAGCAGGAAGGCTGAACGTGCCTTCCAAAGAGCATTTCCAGAAGCCAGGGATGCAGATTTCCCCCTTGCCTAGGTCGAGCCTGACTGTGCTGGATGTTTGCAGGACCCGAAGAGCAGCCTAGGGTCGTGAGTAGGTCACAGGTAGGGCAACAGCTAGGATTGCCCTAATTGCACATTGCACCGTACGGTCTAACTCTCTTTATCGCTAAAGGCTAAAGATGTGCCTGCCCCACTGATCAGCTGTCTCCCTCGTCCATGTTACAGTAGCAGCCATGCCTGCCTTGCGCGAGTGTGTGAGTCGAAACCTAAACCTGGTTGTCTTCTCATCCTTCAAGAACTAGTCTCTCAACAACCCAGAATTCATCCGAGCAGGACTTCCGGCAGCGCTTTCCGGACACGGAGGAAGGCCGAAACCACTGAGAGCACTGTGGAAAGGTGCTAAGATGTGCGTCGTCCAAGAAGCCCAGGGTATGGATGGGGAACAGGTTATTGCTACAACTCGTTATCACTACGGCAGCTGTTGGCCGAATACTGCCCTCAGAGAGTAGTGCAGGCCGTGCCTGCCTTCGGAAGCTGTCGCGTGCTCAGGCTCTGAGGACTCGTGCAAGCCGATGAGGATTGAAAAATGACACATGTGTCTCCGAAGAGCGAAGACTCAGGATACCAGTTGGTATCTAATACATGTACACATACATCTGCAAAGCTTCATAAGTATATACACGAGTATACACATGTGCACACACGCACATGCACACGCGCATAGAAGCAGAGGGAATAGTCTTTCATGGCAGGCTGCAGATTCCTGTTGCAGTGATCCGACGTGCCGTTAACCGGTCGGGTGGAATGTCGCCACGAGAAACTCCGAACTGTGCGAGTTGGCTGATGCTCATGCGATGCACTGTGTCTGCCGCACTGAAGAAGCAGAGGGTTTTTGAGGTGACGGAGCTAAAATCCCCAACGCTACAAGTCGAAGTGTGACGGCTGAGCTGTACCGTTAGAAAAGCCAGCTGCATGCCAGGCCAGGCTGAGGCACGCAAAGTTGAGGAGTCATCATCTGAGTATTGCCTCTAGTTATCACTATTGAAACCTCCCCATGTTCGCAACGAGTAACCCCCCAGCATCACCGCGATTCTCCGAGCTAACACGATGGAAGCATGAACTCAAGCCCGCAGCCCTTATGCTGGAAGCCAAAGGCTGCAGTTGATCACGCTGCGCCGGGACAGCGGCGAGGCCGCCCCGTTCTGTTACTACGACTTCCAGTGCCACGTCATGGAAATAAATTTCGTGTTCACGGTGCAAACCAAGGTTCTCTTCAGATCATGACAAACTTTAATAGTGTCGTCAGTGAGTATGCCGTTGCAACATGTCGTGACCCTGAAGCAGCTGTTTGTGTTGATCTACACTACACTGCAAGCTTCAACTTTGTGCAGAACGCGAAGGCAAAACACCCAAAGCCGCTCACTACACCAATCACCTGTTTTCGCACGCTCTCATAGCGCGATCTTCTTTGCCACGACAATCCCGCCCTACAACATCTCTAAATTTGCCGCGATGCAGCATCAAGACGACCATAAGCTACAAGCGTTGGAATCATCCAGCTTGCTACGCTGCTAATTCTCACAGAAGAGACCCTGGCCTGCCCCAAGCATGATGGTCGTTCTCGAGGTTGTCCAGTTGGTGGCAAAGGAAGAAGTGGAGGCCGTGCTCGCCCGGCTAGGTCCTAGCTTGCACGGACGAAATTGCAGGTTCCTTTGCGGATGGCTCCGGATCAAGCTGCACTTTACAAGGCTGCGTCAGAATCTGACTCTTTGCTTCGAGCTTCTCTTTGACGTTCGTGGTGATCCGCTGAAGGTTCTCCAGGAAGCGGCCTTGCGACAAGAGCCCGCTGCTCAGTGGGTGTTCTTTTGCACGCTGGCACCCGAGTCCGGTTCGCTGAGTGAATGCTCCCACTGTCAAGGATTGCCCCTCATCGATGCTTGCGTGAACTGGAGCTGTTCTGCCGGCCTTGTTAGCGGCAGTGGCTGGACTTTTCTCGTACATACTGGCACGTTTTTTTGCTTGTCCAAAGGCTTGCAAGCTCGTATGGTGTTCTCCTTACCGGCATAGCCGCAGAGTTTTCAGGTCTGCATGGCAGTCATCCTCGTTCTTAGTGTCGTTTTCATGCTCGGGCTGCTGGTGGCAGGCTCTGCACGCATCCCTGGTGCTATGCGAAGCGAGGGACTGGAGAGGCGGGTCGTGTGTCCATCCTCGCAATTCGGGAGGAACGGTATGATCCTGCATAGGGGGTACGCGATGGTCCAATCCTGTCTGGTCAACACACGCTGGAGGGGAATCTTATGTTCAGTATATGACTTGTAGCGATCCGAATCCTCATCAGTTTGTGTTGGTTGAGTGAGGGTCGCCTTGACGACCCTGACGTCCAACAGAAAGACAGAGCGAGAGCGAGACAGAAAGCGAGCTAGAGACAGGAAGCAACGAAAGAAAGAGACAGAGACGAATGAACGGTGGAAACTTTTCTGTTGAGCTTGCTCCGGATTGACTCCGCATACCCTCTGCAGACTCTGCAGACCCGTTTCTTGGGAGAACCCTGCCACTGCCGCACTCATCTCCGCACGCACCGTCGCACCAACAACAGACTAGGGGCTTACAATGTTGGCAGGACTTGACCGAGGAAGCATTGAATCGCCGCCGGGCGCCTTGCCTGCATCAGGAGGTTGATGTGATGTGAAGCTTCCACAAAGGGAGGCGGGGGTGTATACACGGGTTACGGCCACTTTCTGATACTTTCTGGGCTTATTCCGACTGGCCCCAAGATCGCGCTGCTAAGGTGGTGAGCAAAGTGGACGTGCTGCGGCCTCAGTCCTTTGGGTGCTTGCGCATGCCCAGGCCATGAGCATGCCATCCTGAATGCTCAACATCCGACGTAAATGGGCGACACGCTGTTCTCAGGATGATGTAGGACACTCGTAGCATCAGTCTTCTTGTCAGGCCTAGATGTCTAAGCCATTTCCGGGAACTCTGGCTCGAAGACTGCTCAGAGCAGCTTGCGGTACGCTGCAACCTGCGATTCGACAGCCCGCGCCGCTTGGGCTGCAGAGAGGTAAGGCGGCAAGGCAAAATGAGAGACAGCCCGTGAAGCTTTCCCATCGGGGCCAGATAGCCGCCCTACTTTCGATTGAAAGCCTTGACAGAACCGAAGCACCAGAGCTCCAAATCACAAAGCTCTTGAAACCGCGTCGTCGGTCCAGTAACCTCGCCTAGGCAAGCCCGAGTGTGAGTGCTGAAGGCTCCTGAAACCTCTACAGCCTTTGCTTCTGAGGCTTTGCAGCAAGGCCATGTCGTCTTCTACGGCTTTTGCAATGCTCTCCGTGGCAGGCACTTGAGCTGTGCTCGATGGCCAGCTTGGGGATTTTGTTCGTGGTTCGCAATTGGATGCCATCAACAGACCAGTGTCAGGGCCGTTCCACTGGTTTCTGAGACTTTGCATGGGTGAGTGGCTGGGTGGAAGCAGTGTTTGCGGTGCTGCTTTGCCTGTGATCCTCTCATTCAAGTGTCTTTTTGCAGGTCCCGGGCCTGATCTGGCATCGTCAAGGCCGGTGCTTGAGTGTAAGATTGAACAGGGTGGGCCTTTATTCGCAGCACTAGCCGGCTGCAACACCGAGCCTGCTTGCATTCGCATGTAGACGGTAGCTGCTGTCATTGATTGCTGTAGAGTCGCTGTTTGATATTATGAAACAGCTTGGTGCCACAACTCTATGTAGAGTCGGTTTCACTTTACAGAATATAGTCAAGTTGCAACACATGGCTCACAATATGCAAGTTGTAAACCATGAACCACACACAGCATATTGCACATGTCTTGTCCACGTGTGCCTCTCTGTGGGTGTAGGTATGTATCTGTATAGGTATATCTACATACTATAGTTCTGGCTATAGCAGACTGTCTATCTACCTACCTCTGTCTATCTATCCATCTATCTATGTGTCTATCTGTCTATCTATCTATCGATGTATGCATACAGATATAGATCTGTATATGTATGTATGTGCACGTAATTTTTTTGTATGTAACGTAATGTAATGTCGTGCAATGTAATGCATGCAGGGTGTGCATGTTACGCATTTCATGTCTATAATGTTCGTCATGTATGTTATGTAGGTGACGCATGTATGAATGTGCATATGCTTGTCTGTACGGTTAGATGTAATGTATGTATGGACATATGAAGGACATGTAGGTATGTAAGTATCCAGAGTCAGTAGTGTAGTGGAACGTAATGCAAGTTAATTTCAGAATGCAGTCTGATGTCAATGAATGTACGTAATGTAATGTATGTAACGTATGTAGGTACGTCTTTAGGTAGGTAAGGTAAGGTCAGGTAAGGTAAGGTAAGGTAAGCATACCTGTGCATATGCATGGCTGTTAGACTGCTGTATTATATTCTCTTGTGCCATATGATGTCTCACTATGCTATATCAGAGTATACCAAACATGACATATTGTCACATGATCTTTACATATGTGTATATGTACATGTGCACACACAAACATATATACATGTACCTACATACAGATACATACACTGTCACGCATATGAGTCACCAAATACAAACTAATCCTAGATTCGCAAAACAACGAGCAGGAAAGCCTTTCCAATTGCATGGCAGCCGGCTGCAGCGAGCCTTCAAGGTCACCGGGTCCTTTGAGCATTGGGAGCGTCGGGTTTAGGGTCTTTTGGTAAGCAGCCTGGTCAAAACGACTTCTGATTTGGGCATCAGCCTATCGGCCCGAAATTCGTGTATGAGCATTGCATTTCCAGACATCGTCAGAATCCTGCACATGAACCCTTGGATGGCAAGCTGTCAGACCACCCAAATACCCTTGCACACAGGTGCGAGTGGCAGCTCTGGGGTGCAGCTGCTTGGCAGTAATCGGGAGCCCACTCTGTGGAATCCGGATTTCTGGATGCATGGCTGCCAGATCCTGGCTTGTATTGACAAGTGGCCAAGGTGCAGTCTGCACTTTTGAAACCAATGCTCACGGTGACGTTGATGATGCTGTTGCTGCTCAGCTACTTCTGCTGCAGCCAGTATTTCTACTGCGACTGCTAGCTGCTAGCTGCAATGCCTGCTTGCTGCAATTCCGGTTGAGGGCGACCACGTTTTCTGCTGCTTAGCCATGCTGCCGCTGGCGCAACCTCCTACTACTACTGCTCCTACTACTGCTTTTGGTTCGCATCCGAGTTTCTGCCCTGTCGAATTTGCATTTTCCAATCAGGTCATTTCGCACAGTTCAGTGTTGCCGGTGGGGTGGGGCCGTGGCGGTTTTGGTGAGTCCCTCCCACGCACAGCAGGCATTTGGGCTTGTAGTCTCTTGTAATTTTCGGCTTCATGTTGTACGGGTGTGAAAACGATGAAGCACCTGTTTACAGAGTTTTCATATTATCCTGCCATATCCTACCACCGACGGTTTAGCGGTTTCCCCCCTGTCGAGTTTGCAATGTCAGCGGCTGTCAGAGTTTTGGAAGCCTGAGCCTCTGCAACTTCAGCCGCTGGAACAGTTCGGGAGCCCAGTAGTAGCAGCAGCAGTAGTAGCAGGAGTAGTAATGTAGCAGCAGTGGTAGTAGTGGTAGTAGTAGTAGTAGTAGTAGTAGTAGCCGCAGCAGTAGTAGTAGTCGTCGTAGTAGTAGTAGTCGTGGTGGTGGTGGTAGTAGTGGTAGTAGTGGTGGTGGTAGTAGTAGTAGTAGTGGTAGTAGTAGTAGTAGTAGTAAATAGTGGCAGGGACTGGTAGTGGTGGTAGCGGTCGTGGTCGTGGTGGTGGTGGTGGTGGTGGTGGTGTTGGTGGCGGCGGCGGCGGCGGTGGTGGTAGTACTGGCGGTAGCGGCAGTGGTAGTAGTAGCAGGAGGAGTATATAGTAGTAGTTGTTGTCGTAGTAGCAGCAGCAGCAGTCCTGTTTCTGCTTCTGCTACTGCTACTGGTACACCTACTCCCACTACGACTACTGCGACGACGGCGACTACTACTTCTACTACTGCTACCGCTACTGCTACTGCTACTACTGCTACTGCTACTGCTATTGCTTCTGCTACTCCTGCCACCGCGACGACAACAACAACTCGCATTTAGATCAGTACCAGGCTCCTGTCATCCTCAGCGGCAGTTACCGTGGCGACACTGGCTAGGAGACACGTGACGCAGAGGCTCGAAGCAAGATCGCGCTAGCCACGTTGCATGGAGATGCTGCGATTTTAGGGGTTCGCTTATCCAGATTGCACTGAAAGGTGGTAGCACTGTGAACACTTGAAATTTTCCTTGACAGGAAACGAAGCACGTCGAATCCTAGCTGCAGCAGTCCAATGTGGACATTTGGTTTCCTTTTGCTGTACGGTTCCTCTTTACGGACACAGATACCGGGTCTGCCAACTTGCATAAGCATCTTCCGGCTGACCGGTACACAAGGTCGCGGGTCGCAGTCGCTGCCCAGTGCAAGAAGACGCAGTGCGTGCACCCTGACAAGCCGATGATGTTTGCTTGCGCTATTCTCAGCTTTTGAAGAATGTCACATTACTCATGCAAGCCACGGTCTGGTCTTCAAATCTCCGTTGAACCTCTCCCTTCTCTCATTGTCACACTCGCACCTGAAAGACACTATGACCATGACATCGGGATGATAGAAACCAGACATCTTCGTCGACCAGAGCCACCAGCCACCAGCGGTACCCCGAAGCCCGACCACCAACCGTCTGTGCCTAGCAGTTTCCACAGAAGGTCTGATTCAAGATCAGGGACCCGAAGTTACGCTTTGAGATCTGGCCTGAAGCCGTGCGGCATTTCGTGAAAAACGCGAGTCCCCCGTCAAGATGCACTGGCGTTCTCCCGCAAAGTAGTGCAGTTTCTGACCGTTCGACCAGCCCTGCACAGTCGAGTTGCACATTCCGCCGCTGTAAGAGCATCGGCTTCGGGGGCTGGACTTATGGCACCGTCTCGGTCTACAGCAGCCATCTCCAATTGACGCTGTTGTCATTGCAATCATTATGATGGCTGCGCAATGCTTAGATGGAGTTGACTGCTCGTTACAAAGGTGCAGACTGCCCTCGTCGCGGTGTTGCCCCGGAGCTTGAAGAAGAGCCGCTGGCGGCGGCGGCGGCATTCCTTGGAGAAAGCGTCCCAAGCAA